AAAGGCAATCCCAAAGAATGTTCAAACTACCGCACAATTGCACTCATCTCACATGCTAGTAAAGTAATGCTCAAAATTCTCCAAGCCAGGCTTCAGCAATACATGAACCATGAACTTCCAGATGTTCAAGCTGGTTTTAGAAAAGGCAGAGGAACCAGAAATCAAATTTCTAACATCTGCTGGGTCATAGAAAAAGCAAGAGAGTTCCAGAAAAACATTTATTTCTGCTTTATTGACTATGCCAAAGCCTTTGACTATGTGGATCACCACAAACTGTGGAAAATTCTGAAAGAGATGGGAATACCAGACCACCTGACCTGCCTCCTGAGAAATCTGTATGCAGGTCAGGAAGCAACAGTTAGAACTGGACATGGAACAACAGACTGGTTCCAAATAGGAAAAGGAGTACGTTAAGGCTGTATATTGTCACCCTGCTTATTTACTTTATATGCAGAGTACATCATGAGATGTACATCCAACTGGGCTGGAGATGGCACAAGGTAGAATAAAGATTGCTGGGAGGAATACCAATAACCTCAGATATGCAGATGACACCACCCTTATGGCAGAAAGTGAAGAAGAACTAAAGAGCCTCTTGATGAAAGTGAAAGAGGAGAGTGAAAAAGTTGGCTTAAAGCTCAACATTCAGAAAACTAGGATCATGGCATCTGGTCCCATCACCTCATGGCAAATAGAGGGGAAAACAGTGGAAACAGTGTCTGACTTGGTTTTTTTTGGGTTCCAAAATCCCTGCAGATGGTGACTGCAGTCATGAAATTCAAGACGCTTACTCCTTGGAAGGAAAGTTATGACCAACCTAGACAGCATATTAAAAAGCAGAGACATTACTTTGCCAACAAAGGTCCGTCTAGTCAGGAGGAGAAGGGGACAACAGATGATGAGATGGTTAGATGGCACCACCGACTCAGTGGATATGAGTTTGGGCAAACTCTGGGAGTTGGTGACGGACAGGGAGGTCTGGAGTGCTGCAGAGTCGGACACGACTGAGTGACTGAACTGAACTGAGCTGAACATACTCAGAGTGCCAACCCTACCTCTATGCTATCTCTGAATCTTGCATGATCAGTTATTTAACTTCTGTTCCACAATCACCAGCTTCCTGTGCAGCTGGGACCTCCTCTCGTGTATCTCACTTCACTTGGTGCCCAGTGTCCAGTGCAAGGTCTGACATGCAGTTCATGCATCATGCTCTTTGAATCGAATTGTTCTGGAACCCTGCCACTCTTGCCTTCGTTTCCTTGCTGTGGGTCTAAGCAAGCTGCTCCAGATACTTTGGGGACTGGCTAACTAGTAGCGGAGGTTGGTGGCCATGGAGAGATAGATGCCTTAGGAGTTAGGGCTCATGTAGGAGTGTGGGTTATGACAGTTCTTCCCCAGTACTGACTGACTCCACTACCCTGACCACAGGAATGGGCAATCTCCATTTGCCTCCCACCTCGGAGCTCTGTAAAGGCTACAAATAGAGTCAAGTCTGTGACTTGAGAAACTGGGGGGGGGGGGGGGGGGCGGTTCACGTCAAATGAACCAAGAAAACAAGCCAGAAATGTCAAGATAAAGATAACTTTGGCCAAACTTTTCTAAAACATTTGTTTGCAGGCTTCAGAGACCTCCTTTACAGTGGCACAGAGGGGAGCCATACTAAAGAAGCTTTCCCCAGAGTATCCTGACTCCAAAGAAGTGAAAACTCCAGAGCCTTGTGCCTTTTAAGTCAAATCACTGGCATGAGCAGAATGACTTAGAAGAAAACGGACCCCACTGGATGCTGTAATGTGATTCAGAGAGAGCTCTAGAAGAAACTGCCAAGGTCCCCTGACCTAGCCCTTCATTTTACAGACAGGAAACTGAGGTACAGAAAGTTAAGGAACTTACATAAAGCTAGACACTTATTTAGAGCACCCAAATGTCTCCAGTTATTTACCAGTGCCTCTCCCTGGGCCTCTGGTTTCTCAAATATGAGATAAGTAGGTCCCTCTCTAAGATCCCTCAGAGATCTTAATGCTCTTTGACTTGGAATAGTCCTATTGATAGACACCTGTGTCCACCTCTAGCTTGGACACTATTTCAGTTTTACTTTGGGAAAATCGTTTCTCCCCACTGAACCCTGAAATAGCATCTAGTGTCATAGAAAATTTTCATTTGCCACCTAAGTGTGAACCAAAGAACCCAGATTCTTCAGCTGGTTGGAGTCCAGCCACTACCCTAACCCCTATTCTGGAAAATCTCAAGTTATGTGGTCAGATTTCTCAAACATTAGTCAGGAATAGTGATAACATTCTTCGGCATCTCTCTGGGGCTTCATAATTTACAAAGTAGCCTGGGTTCAAATCCAAGCTTCACTGTTTCCAAGTTATCTGCCCTTGAATGAATGACTCTATGTCTCAGGTTCCTCAGCTATAAAATGGGGTGATCACAATAGTGCCTACTTCATTGTTTCTAAAGAGTACATGCAGGCATTCAGAAAGGGACCTGGAGCACAATTGCTCAGCAAATTATTAGTTATTAGTTATTATTATTATTAAGCACTTTTAGGTGCATAACCTCACTTGATCCTTACATTCTATTACTTTAGACAAATCTGAACAAGTTTCTAAAAGCTTTTAACATTTGCAACATACAGATTCAGATAGAAGAATTTCTGTCCAAACTCAAACTGTCCTTTTAATAATAGGCAAGGAAAAAAAAATAGGTTAGTAATTTCACTCCAGGCAGAAAATGACTTGTGAGCTAGTTCCCTCCAACTCCTGGCAGGAACCATGTTGAAGGGACTCTTGGGAGGTGTAGCTGTAAATCAAAAAGTAGGGTGAGCTGAAGGTTCACAAAATCAAAAAGTTAAAGAGGTTTAAGCGAACATCTAGTTCCAAGCCAACAGTTACTTTTCACTGATGGGGAAACTGAGGGCCAGAAAGATGGAGTGGCTTATACAAATTCTAGAGCTAGACGGTAGTGGGACTGGAACTGGGGCTCAGGAATCACTGTGTACACACCATCCAGGGCTGGTTCCCCATCCACAGTTGGCAGGGAAGGGGGAGGAGGAGGAATGCTCAGCACCCATTACTTTCTGAGGAGGGTTCTGATGAGGGACCCCCCAGGAAAAATCAGACTTTTAGGGCCTGACTTTCTGCAACGAAACCAACAGAAATGACAGTAGAGAATGTCTCCATGGGTCCAGACTTGCCCCAAGGTGGTTATATTTACAATGAATTATGAAGCTAATGTGTAACATGAAACAGTAACCAAGAGATCTCAGGTCGAATTCCAAATTCAGCTTAAAGGCCCCAACTTCCTGTTCCCGGGAGGTCTTCCTTGATGGCTCCCTCCCTGAGCTCCCACAGTGCTAAATGTCTGAATCACACAGCTGGGACACTGAATCACTAAATATCCTCTAATGGCCTCCCCACTTCTTGTCCCCTAACAGCACCAGAAATGCTCTCAGCAGAAGGACTGAGCCTTATGCTTTCTGACCCCTCTGCAGTTCCTAGTGTGCAGGTTAATCACAGAAGGCTTATGCCAAAGGGGACCACCCTTTCCCCCAAATCAGTCATCTTGTTGGAACAAGCATCTCTTTTTCTAAAGGAAGACAAAGCCAGGATTGGCATTGTCCCAAGGATCAGAAAATGTTGCAGTGGGATTTTGGACATAATAACAAAAGGAAAAAACAGGGAGAAGAAAAGACATTCACTTATGAGAAGCTGGAAAACAAAACCTCACTGTAAGTAGCAGCATCACTAGAGAGAACATTATGCGTATCTAGATTAAGGAAGAACATCTGAAATAAACTTTCTCTCCCCCATTAAACCCTAGCAGCCATGTGACCTTGGGTGGATTACATATGCTTCCCTCCCTTCAGAGGGGAGAGGATGCTTACAGTATTCAGTGCCATTGTTGGTGCAGGCTGTTGTTTATTTGTTTTAATATCTCTTTTTGTTAATTTTAATATTCCTTTCACATTATTCTATTAGTTACCCTAAGTACATTTCAGTAAAGTTGCATCTACTTATTCTGGGAATAATAAGCAATAAAGAATTTTTTATACAGACTGTCTCAAAGTTGAACATCTGGAAAAAAGATGACATCTGTTATTAAGTTATCTATCCATGTATATGCATGTGAATGATTATTATATGTCTATCTTTTGAAATGGATTCAAACAATGGATTATTGACATATGTATGTAGTACTTTATATACGTAGACATCTATGTGTATATACACATATAGACATAATTATTTTCAGTTGCCATCTGGTAATAACTTGTCATATGGTATAACCTTAAATAGCTGTAACAATATCTATTTTATGTATATAAGAAGCTATACAAAGTTATAGATATATTCCTGTAAGTTTTAGATAACCTACTTTCAGTTGGCATGTATTATATATTACACACACATATGCACATGTCATATTTATAGTTTAGAAATATATATTTCCAGTTACATATAAAGCTTCTTATTTTCAGTTGAAATCCAGAATAAGCTAACATTTTATTCTATCAATCAAGATACAAGGAAATTTCTTACATATGAGAAAATATGTTGCTTTTCTTTAAGAAAGCCCGTTAAGTCATATGGGCTGCCCGAAATGACATAAATTTATTCTTCTTACAAGAAAATCAATAGTTTCAATGTTTCTCTTCTAAAATATCATAGGGTCTAGGGGCCCCTATAAATTCAGGGCAGTTTCACAGAGCCCAGGAATCATATTTTTCACTGGTATCAGAGCCTTCATCTGGTGGCAACATAAAGTGGACCATCAACATTTGCAGAACTCTGAGAAGAGTTTTGGGTCTTGCTAGCTTCGGCATTTCCATTCTACACTTGGTCTTAGCCAAAAGGCCAAGATATGATAGCATCTCTATTCTAAACCATGTGTTGACATGATACTTGCCTCCTGACTCCTGTTTGGAGCTGGTCCCAGGAGCTGGGGAGAGCTAGGGAGGAGCTACTCGGATTTGGTGCTCAGAAAGGATCAGTACTCACCACACACTATCACTGCCTTTGTCTATGGGCCGTCCCAAGGGGTCGTAGTAGACATCCACGCTGAGGTTTCGGTCTGTGTCATGAGCTGAGTTGAAGTTGGTGATCACTCGGGAGGGAATTCCCAAACATCGCAACACTGCAAGTCAAGGGCAGTCTGAGGACACGAGGTGCAGTGGAGACAGTACCTGGGGGCACCCCACTGCTGCCCATCCATCCAGCAAAGGCACACGTTATCCAGAATACCTGTGTTGAGGGTTCCAGCAAAGACCCAGCACTGGCCGTATCGGACAGGCCTGAAGCCAGATCTTTGCCACTCCTTGAGGATCTCCACGCTGCCATTCCAGTTCCTAGGGTCCCGGCCACCAGTGTAGCTACCACTCCAGTTCCCAGCAAGCACGCCATTGTCATCATTGCTATTGACCTGGGCGGGAATAAACCCCAAGGGAATCAGCACAGAGAGTGACAGGCAGAGTTCAGGGGGGAAGGTAAGGAGTTAAAGAAGGAAGCCAGGGAGACGCCCTCAAGTCTCTGTATCTTTCTGGGCGATTTGGGCGATAATTGTGATAATGGGTATCAAGAAGTTTATGAATTTGAAAGTGCTTTCCTTAACAGGCCATGTTTGCCCCTAATTCACATGTCATTCCCAGCTCACAGAGAAAATCAAGGCTCCATGGCTTGTCAGTGATGAAGCAGGGGTAGAAAATCAGCCCACAGTCAATTCCTGGCCAGAACTCGAGGGCTGCTGCTGCCTGACTAGGGGATCCATAGTTTGAAGCTCTCTTTTGGTGTCCTGGTCTTCTAAAAACATCACTTTAAAACTTTAGCCACTAACTTATTCTTGGAAAGAATAAAGATGGACTTTTGCTTTTCATCCATCCATTCATTCATTCACTCAGCTTAACTCATGATTATTGTATATGGGTGTTTTTGTGCATGCTCAGTCACATCTGACTCTTTGCAATTCCATGCCAAGCTCCTCTGTCCGTGGGATTTTCCAGGCAAGAAGACTGGAGTGGGTTGTCATTCCCTTCTCCAGGGTATCTTCCTGACCTAGGGATCAAACCCATGTCTCCTCCTTCTTTTGCATTGGCAAGCAGATTCTTTACCACTGTGCCACCTGGGAAGCCCTTGATTCTTGAATAAGTCATGTGAGAAGAGCACTAGACTAGGAATCAAGAGATCTGAGTCTCTTAGTCTGAGTCTTTTAGAGACTCATATTGAAATATTTAGGGACAAAATGATGCAATATCTGGAATTTATCACATAATCCATGGAGAAGGGGACACAGATGAAACAAGACTGGACTTGAGTAGGTAATTGATGAAACTGGTGACAGGCACATAGAAGTTCATTTTACTTTTTCCTCTAGTTTTGTGAACATCTGAACTTTTCTATAATAAAGAGTTAAAAGAAGGACTTCCCTGGTTGCCCAGTGGTTATAATCTGCCTTGCAATGCAGGAGATGTGGGTTCGATCCTTGGTCAGGGAACTAAGATCCCATGTGTCACAGACCAACTAAGCCTGTGAGTTGCACTGGGCCCAGGCACCACAACTAGAGAATCTGTTCACTGCAATGAAAGATCCACAACTGTGTGCCACAACTAAGACCCAATGCAGCCAAATTAAAAAAAAAAAAAGTTAAAAGAGAAAGAAGAAGGAGAAACCTGGATCACGAGCCCAATTTGGCTGCTTGTCAGCAGGGTGATTGTTGACAAGCTGATTCATTCAAGCTCACCTTCCTACAAAGGGAATGGAAGAAGCAAGTACGCCCTCAGCTGTCTTCTAGCAGCGAGGTCTTCAGAGTTTATGAAACTGATTAGCGTTTACCCCAACCTCACAATGAGAACTGCTCCCTTTCTCTGTGGGGGTCACAAGGCAAGGCCTGTGAGAAGCAGCAGTCTGGAAATAGAAGGATCCTTGCCCATGACCAGCTGGCCCAGCCTTCACGGCCCCTCTGTGTGCTGGGTGAGCTCTGCACCCCCTCCAGGATGGCCAGGCTGGAATTGCAGGATCAGGGCCATGGGGCTTCTTCAAGATGGAAGATTGCATGGCCCATCTCCATCTCTTGAGTCACAGGTGCTCCAGCCTCCAGTGTGGTAATCACAGGCTCATCTCTGACTGAAAGCCGAGTGTTTCAAAGCCCCACACAGGCCATAATTAGCTCGTGGTCCAGCCCAACCAGGAGGGCTAGAGAGAGAGCAGGGAGGTGCAGCTGAGGAGCCTGGCTCTGAGATCAAGGGTTTTGTCCCGAGGGCTGGAGTGAGTCAGCAGCCACTGGAGCCAGCTGCCTCCCCCACCCTCTCCTGAACTGAGGAGGCTCAACTTTCTAAGTTGCCCAAACACCAGCTTTCCTAGACCTTGGGCTGGGCTTTAATCCCACCCTTCCAGGACCACTTGGTTTTCAAGGTTCAGCCTGTGCCCACTCCCTCTCTGACTCTTCCTGCCACCCTGGTTCCCACCATCTCCTCAGTGCCTCCGCATTCTCTGGGCCTCCCCACACCTGTCCTGCCAGGTTCGAGTTAAGAAGCCCTGTCTGATGACCCCCAATACCTATCAAGTAGTCAGGAGGTCATTCACTTAACCATGTAACTAGCTCATTAGCTTGGATATTCTCCAGCTCAAAAGAGACTGGAAATGCCTAGTCCATTAATCACACACACACAAAAGTTGACACTTCTGAGTAATTGTTTAGATTCAGAGGGTTAAAGTTCAAGAACTCTCTGACTTTTGGCTTTCTAATTTATAACTTTTGAGCAGGTTATCCCTTGTTTGGACATTTTTCTGATGGAGAGGTTTCCTACCCACTGAGTATAGAGCATTCCTCCAGCATTCAGCTTGTGTGTGTATCCAGCTAATGCGTGTGTTTGGATGGGTGGGGTAGGTTTCTCACGTGGAAGGAGTAGGTGAGTTGAGGGTGGCCCCAGGCGGGCAGTTGGAGGCCTTAATCTGGCCGGACTCACTCGAGAGCTAAGTTGTGAGTGATTCCCTTCAGCCCCCTGGCATCAGTTTCCCCAGCTAGAAAACGACCATGTCAACCTCTGCCCGCTGGCACTCACGCCCTCTGTGCTGAGGAGGGGATAAGTCAGAGCTAAGGAGCGTAACCCCTTCCCCAGGAGCCCCAGGGACGGAGCAGTGTCTCAGCTTGTGTCCTCCCAGCCCTGGCGGACCCCCACAGATCAAGTCCTTGTCGTCTGAGGAAGGCCTCACAATACAGTGGGAAGCCGGCAGCCTGGGTCTTGTTCTGCCTCCGCCACTCACTCCCAAGTGTCTCAGGCAAGTCCTTTAATTTAGAGGCGTGTCGTGCTCTGTATGTACAAAATGGGGATATAATAACCACCAACTTTATTTTGTGAGACATCAACCAACAAGATGAGTGGTTGTGCCAAACCCATAGCTGAGTTTGATATAGGCGAACAACTAGTTATTATGGTTTTCTCAGCACTCACCATTGCACTCAGCACCCGGCCAATATATATGGGGTCGTTTCTGCGGGCCACATCCGTAGCAGGGTCACGGCGAAAATTCAGACTGTTATCCAGGACTGACAGGCAAATGTTCAGAATGCCTTCTTCAAACTGTTCAAAATGGGGCCATATGTTACAATGAAAGAAATTACAAGTAGTATCGGCTAATTGAGGGCATGGAGGTTATGCTGGTAAGAGCCATGGGCACTGCCCATATCTCCCCCGCCCCCACCACGGCCCCCAGAACTGAGAGACAGAGGAACAACCACCCACCTGGCCTTTAACCCTGAAAACTCATCCAGACCTCTTGCTGTACGCAAGGCCTTGTGCTGAGGCCCCTCAAGTTTAATGAGACTCCCTCACTGTTACGAATTTGAGAGCAGTCACTTGACCTATCTGGGCCTCAATTTCACCATCTATATAACAAGGGATCAGGCTGAGCACATCTCAAAGTTTCCATCTAGTTCTGACATTGATTTCGAGCATATCGCTTAGACATTTGGTTATAAAATGTCTCACTAAAACTGTAATTTGAAACCATTTTCACAAAATGGAGAAGGCCAATCTCTTTCTTGCCTTAGAGTCTTCAATATGCTGTTCCTTCTTCCTCCAGTGCTTTTCCCTAAGATATTTATCCAGCTCCCTTGCCTCCATTAAGTTTCTGATCCTAAGTTCCTTTCTAAGCAAGGCTCTTCCAGATCATCCCATCAAAAATATCCTCCCTTCCACCCCTCCATGCACCCTATGCCCTTACCCACCCCGCCCCTTTTTCTTCTTTTCTATGAAACTTAACACAGAACACAACATATAAAACTCAACATATAAAATATATGGCATTATACTGAAGATAAAATACATGGCAGATGTGCCCTGGTTGACTACTAGACACAGGAGAATGTGCACCTGTCCACCCTCTGCTGGACATCCAAGGCACCCCACCCAAGGGACTTCATTGGAATGCTTCATTTGTCTGCTGGAAAGAAGAAAATATGGAGGGAATCCCTGGATGTGGCTAGCTGAGCAGACTCGGGAATTCTGTGGACTCAGATGTCATAGTACTCTAGGACCCTTGGGAGGTCTAATACTCACACCAAGGAAATTTCATCACATTATGACATGGAATGAATAATAGAAACTACTGTTGTGCAAGTCTCTACCGGGGCCTTATCTTCATTCATGTATCATGGTACCAATAACATGTTGTTGCATCAATTTAGTTATGTGTCTGTTTTGCCCGTGAAAATGTGACCTCTTCAAAGACATGAAATATGTCTTATCCATCTCCTGTATCCATAGGTGCACCTTGGTCACTGGCACATAGTAGATCATCAATGAATGTCTTCTGAATGGATGAATAAATAAGAGGCAGGCAAATGGGCAGATTTGGGAACTGCCACCTATCTGTGGGGTTTGCCACAGAGCTTCTTTGGGTAGAATAGGGACATTACTGCCAGCCTCTATGATCCTTTTACCTGTCCATAGTTCCAGCCAATCATGCCAATTCGATTTGTGCTTCCCACAAAGATGATGCCAGCATCTTCCTGAACATATTCCTCTCTCTCAGCATGGTTACTCATAAAGACACCATCAGCTGTTCGACATGAAAAAAACAGATAGTAGGGGATAGAATCTTACAGAGAACTGTAGAGACTCATCCTTGTCTCAGTCCTGAGTACCCACATGGTGGCTGGAGCAAGCCATACCTTCAGCCCTTCCCCCAGCTGCAACGAGGAGTGAAGCCTTGGGGTAAAATGCTTCCACGTCATATCATGAGAACTATAAACTTGAAAGAGAAGCTGAGATGACCTAAGAATCTGAAAATGAGACCTCTGGGAATGAAAAACTTGCCTCTTCAGGCACAAGCTGTCTCCATGCTGCAGGAAGGTGCTATAGTCATTACACCATACTATACAGTTTTGAAAAACTCATGAGATCCTTGCAATAGCCCCAGAAATAGCAAGTTGTCCATCTAATGGTGAGGAATTTGAGGCTCAGAAGGGTAGAGAGACTGCCAGACTCACATAGTGGGTTCAGAGTCAGAGCTGGACTAAAACCCCTGACTTCTGACTTCTAGCTTCTGTGCTCTTTCCCTATTCCACAAACTACCCCTAATCAAACCTGATCCCATGAAAATCATTCCCTCCATCTCTTTTCCATGGGGCATCCCTTAGCTGATGGCTGGAAGTGTGGGTGGTGGGATGCCTACCTTGCAACCAGGGGTTAAAGAGCAGTATGAATGTCCCAACTTTCAGCGTGGAATCACTGCCCTGGGAGGAGATCTGCATGTCTAGCGTGTACCTTCCAATGGGCGCATTTGCAGGACTAAGGATGGAGATGTTCAGAACATTGTCCCTGTTGGACACAAGTTGTGCACCCCAGTCGCTGCTGCTTGTCCCATTGGAGAGTGGAAACACAGCCTTTGTCTTGGCCGACTCTGAGGGGTAAGGCCCTGGAAAAAAGACATAGGACAATGGAAACCAAGTAGTTTTGGCTGACTGTGGAGAAACCAGATCCCAATATAACCGCAGGGATTCTTTGGGAGACGTTATACAATGAAGCAGCATGTTATGGCCCTGGAAGCAGCTGGAGATCACATGGTCCAAATCCCTCTTGAGGTTAAGACTGTGACCCTCAGAGATAGGTGAAACTTGACTCTACCAAGTCAGTGGTAGATCTGGGTTAGAGCCTGAGGCCACCACCACCACCACCCCTTGAATGCACAGCCCCAAGGTCTCCTCAAGGTGTGTATGTGGGAGGGGGGCGAGGAGCAGTGAGCTCCACAGGTACCTGTGGAAGCTGTGAATGTCAGTCTTCCTCCAGAGCTGAGACCTCGGTATAAGGTCAATGACACATGGAAGGGTTGGCCTCTCCGTACGATGAGATCCTGGCTGTTGAACCTGTCTGTGTGATGTGCCTGCCGGTTGGAGGCTGTCTGCCAGTTGACACTCTGGAGTCCTAAAGCCATGAGACAGAAGAGAGGACTTGAGATACTGGGAGAAAAGGGATGGTGGCATTTGGGAAAAGGTGTAAGTTACCGAAGAGACAGCTTTTGGACAGGGCTTGCTGGGGAAGAATCTTCTTGAAAAAACCACATTAAAATGCAAGATGGCAAGCACTTCACAACCTATTCCCACCTGCCTTTTCAGGTGGCTGACGCTTTGCACACACTACCTCACCTCCCCTTCCATCTGGCTGACTTTCACTCAGCCCTCAAGGAAGTAGCTTCCACCAACCAGCGAGGAAACTGAGTAAGCAATTCTGTCCACATTATCCTCCTTCCGTTGTAGACAGTGGTGCACATAGGACTGGGAGGAGACTACTTCTCTTGAATATACCACACAGGTTTGGCTTCCTTGCTTTTCCCTTTGTGTCTTCCCAAACACCAAGTGCCTTCTATCATGCCAACACCCAGCAAATGTTTACCTGTGTCATCTATACTTTATATGTGCAACACCTTGGTGTCTGCCTGTGCCCTTGATGCTGAGAAGGATTGTGTGATTCTGGGAAGCATTTCGAGGCCTGGAGATTGGGAAACCACTGGCCTGGAGGGACTTTCAAAGGCTCACTGGCAAGAGTGGTCTTAGGCCTCATATGAGATCCCCAGATAAGATCCTGAAGACAAACACCTCAAAATCTACCCCCAACTTCTCAGATGATTGTGTAGGTGAGGGAGCTAAGCTGAGAAGGGTTATGAGAGATTCCATGGGATATGAGGGGTTTAACCATTTTAAAACTTTTGAGATATTTAATCCCTTTGAGTTATGTTTGAGACATAACAACACCCAATCTTCTGCAAATGAAACTGGTCTCTATCTTTACAATGTGGTCACAGCTATGATGGGAGTGTGACAACACAACTCTTATTTATATACATCTGCCTTTGTTCATTAGAATGTGCCTTCTTTATCTTTATATTCTAATGCCTGACACATTGCTTGACTAGATTAGGACAATCAGATAAACAAATGAGGGGCTAACTGAACAAACAAACATAAAACTAATGTCATGCAATGACCTTCATGACTAGGGCTCCAAATTTAGTCTATAAGGAAAGGTGTATACGGAGTATTCATTTAATAAACATAGAGAGATTACCTGTTATTTGTAGGACACTATGTAAGGCACATGTCGGGGTGTGAAAATGTATGAAAATTAGTTTTAACCCTCAAAGAGCTTCAGCAGTGCATAAGACAACATGTCAGAATGAATGATGAGGGAAATCCAATCTCCTCCCCCCCACCCAAAAAGATGTCTAGGAGATACAGGCAAGAATCACTTTCAGTTATAGGAATCAGAAAAAAATTCATCGCAAATGCCAGGCCTTGAAGGAAGAGAGAAATTTGTCAAGTACATTTCAGACAATAGGCAGAGAGACCTAAGGCCCAGAAGAGCAGGTGTATTCTTGGCTAGAGCAGAAGTCTTATCTGGAAGAGAAAGGGGAGACACAGAGGGCATGGCTCCAGGGCAGGCCTGGGGATGGGGATCCCTCCAAGCAGCTCCAGGGTGGGCAAAGGCTCATCATCAACTCGAGTGGGATGCAGAATCTGGGGTGATGAACCAAGGTTGCTGCTGAAGCAGGCTTAGACAGTGATCGTGCCACCTGCTCAGTGTACTAAAGAGTCATTCATTCACATGTCCACTCATTTATTTATACATTGAGCAAATAACTATTGAAAGAATAAATTAAAAAGCTTTTTTTCCTTAAACTCAGGAAAACTAAAACATCCATGTAGCCAACAAGCATCTACTGATTGAAGAGAAAGGGACAGAGAGAAAGGTGGGACAGAGGGAGATGAATATTCTTGCACATAAATGTTGAACGGTGAGAGCTCAGATCTTGGGTGGTCTCTGGCAAGCATCAAACTCTATATGACCTGCAGAGACCTGACTTGCTGAAAGTTAGGACCCTCTAGGGCAACGTCCCCACCTTCTAAATACCTGCTTCTTACCAACTGCACTTACTATCTTCTGTGCATGGGAGTTGGTAGAGATTTACTCACTGTCTCGCTTTAGAAAAAAGAAGAGCTCTTAGGTACAGTGGTCTGAGGTCACACAAGTCTCCCCAGAGAATCCTCCCCACTCCCAAACCCAAAAGGATGTGTGTCTTCTCCCCAGGAGAAGCTCACTATTCTTGACCATGGGTTGAGAACAGAAAGTATGTCCCTGGACAGCCCTCCGATAGCACAGGTTAAAAAATGGGGAGGCAGCAGGGATTCCCATCTGTAGCTGGTTTCTGCCAAGGCTTAAACACTGTTTGCTAGAGCTGTGTCAAGAGCAGAGGCGTCTCCGCAAATAACTAATGTTGACGAGGGTGTGGAGAAAAGGGAATCCTTGTACACTGTTGGAGGGAATGTGAATTGGTACAGCCACTATGGAAAATGGTATTGAGGGTCCTTCAAAAACTAAAAATAGGACTATCATATGACCCAGCAATTCCACTCCTGGGTATCTATCCAAAGAATAAAAAAATGCCGATTCAAAAAGATACAATGTTCATAGCAGCATTATTTACAATAGCAAGCTATGGAAGCAATCTAAGTGTCCATTAACAGATAAATAAAGAAGATGTGGTATATACACACAATAAAATACTACTCAACCATAAAAAAGAATGAAATTTTGCCATTTGCAACAACATGGATGGATCTGGAGGGTCTTATGAAATAAGTCAGACAGTGGAAGACAAATACTGTGTGTGTGTGTGTGTGTGTGTGTGCGTGTGTGTGTGTGTGTGTGTGTGTTCAGTTACTCAGTGGTGTCCGACTCTTTGTGACCCCATGGACTATAATCTGCCAGGCTCCTCTGTCCATGGAATTTTCCAGGCAAGAATACTGGATCATGTTGCCATTTCTTACTCCAGGAAATCTTCCCAACCCAAGGATCAAACCTACTTCTCTTACATCTCCTGCAATGGCAGGCAGACTTTTTATCACTGCACTACCCAGGAAGCCAAATACTATATATTATCACTTATATGTGAAATCTAAAAAAATGAATGAATACAACAAAACAGAACAGACTTACAGATACAGAGAACAAAATAGTGGTTACCAGTGGGAAGAGAGGGCAAGATAGAAGTAGGGGATAAGAGTTACAAACTATGAAGTATAAAATGAATATAAGGATAGATTGTACAGCACAGGAAATATAGCCAATATTTTATAGCAACTTTAAATGGAATGTAATCTATAAAAATTGAAACCCCAGGTTATATATATGAAATTAATGTAATATTGTAAATCAGCTACACTTCAATTTTTAAAAAGAGATTTGAAAAACAAAAGGGGGAATCAACACACAAAAGTACACATGGCCAGTTCACATAGGTTTGCCTAAGTCCGAAAAATAAAACAATTCTAATTATTAAAAAATTAAGAGTAGAGGTGTGTCTCTTTCATCCCAGAACCCAGTGGCTTGTCTGTAGGGAAAATGATGAAGAAAAGGCTGATCACCGGGGTGCCTTGACTGCAGAGACACTGAAAGGAGACAAAGGGCCCTTTGCACACACTAGGTGGTGTCCTCGGCTGACAGAGAATGTCATCTCTGCCTCTCCCACCGTGAGCACTGGATGAAAGAGTCTTGCTTCTCCCTGGAGTGCTTGTGGGCTGTGCAAGGCTTCTCTGAGCTGCAGGGTGAGGAAAAACAGGACTCACATTTGTCATTAGTGTCCTGTGTGTCAACTGTTAAGAGTACACAGAGCAACTTACACACACCATTGATGAAATCTTTATAGAAACTGGGTGGGGGGGATAAACTAGGAGCTTGGGATTAGCAAATACACACTGCTATATATAAAAGAGATAAACAACAAGGTCCCTGGGTAGAGCACAGGGAACTATATCATATCTTGTAATAACCTATAATGGAAAAGAATATGAAAAAGAATATATATTCATGTATAACTGAATCATTTTGTTGTACATCTGAAACTAACACAACATTGTAAGTCAACTATACTTCAATTGAAGAAAAAAAGAAACTGGAAACTAACACTCAGAGAGATAAATATCTTAAAAAAATTTTAAATTTTATATTGCAGTATAGCCAGTTCACAATGTTGTGATAGTTTCAGGTGGACAGCAAGGGGGCTCTACCATACATTTACACGTATCCGTTCTCCCCCAGACTCCCTTCCCATCCAGGCCGCCACATAACACTGAGCAGAGCGCCCTGTGCTCTACAGTAAGACCTTGCTGGTTATCCAATTTAAATATAGCAGAGTGCACATGTCGATCTCCAACTCCTTAACCAAAGGAGATAAACATCTTACTTGAGGTCATGTACTTAGTGACTGACAGGTCTTACCCTCCCTGTTGCCATGGTCTCCTGTTCTCCACCTGGGAGGGGAACCCTGGCAGTTCCTTCAGTCCAGAATACACCCAGGTGGAAAGGAACCTCACTACACATTGTCCTCCATTCTGGCATTTGTATCCTGATACAGAGGAGAGAGTGAGTCACTGGAAGGCCAAAGTGTCCCAAAGGCATTCTACATGAGACATGAGTAGAAGGGGAGCATCCCTGAACCCCCAAGTGGGATGGGCAGGTTGAGAGCATGCTCATAAAGCTCCCAGGTGGTTCCTGAAACCCTTCTCCTTCAGCTGGCTGCCTTCAGTCGTCACCCCACTTCTGAATCCTAGGATCAGCTTGCCAGTCCAAATCAGGGATCTGATGATCCTGTTTGTGGATTATCCAGGGCCTTTGTTCTCCCACCTGCCACCCCTTCACGTAGCACTAATCTCAGCCTGAGTTTGTTCCAGAAAGGAAAGGGAGGATAACCTCAGATATGCAGATGGTATCACCTTAATGGCAGAAAGTGAAGAGGAACTAAACAGCCACTAATGAGGGTGAGTGAAAGGAGAGTGAAAAAGCTGGCTTAAAACTCAATATTGACAAAAACCACTACAATATTGTAAAGTAATTAGCCTCCAACTAATAAAAATAAATGGGAAAAAAAA